GATAAGTTTGCAGGAACTGGGAATCAGGCTGCTATCAAACATTGTATAGTTGTATAGACACATACCATTCTGTCTTAAAACCTGAAAATACACCAAAAAAAATAAAACAATTGGCCATATGCTAAGATTATCTAACATATGGACCAGTTACGGAGACAAATAAAGAATATGTGGACTTGATTTTTCAAATTGGATTGGTTCTAAAATGAAATTTTAAATAATAGCCCATGGAGCATACCAATGCTAAGGTAGTTGTAGAAGATTCCTCCAAAGCAAGAAACGCTTTCTGGCAATTCTCTTTGTATGTCCACATCCTACAACAACATTGATTTTTTCAGACAGATCACCACATGTAACTTATATGAGTAAGCATAATTCACTAAATTAGCGTTGGCTGTTAATTGATAATGTCAGCTAAATGAGTGATTCAGAAGACTACCAATAGTATAACAAATTCATAACCACTATCCTCAATGAAGGAGCCACTGAATCTCCAAACAGATATGAAATTATATAGTATCTAAATTCAAAGAGTACTCAGAAGTTGCTATTTATGGTGTGTATCAACTACTAGTAGTAACTTGAATTTTAGCCCACATCTGAGATGTGAAACATTAATATTGCAAAAAGTTATCTCATCAGCAATCTCTTCAATATGTGCTTCTTTCCGTCAAAAATTCCACTTATTTTTTATGGTTCAGTGACTGTGTGCAATCTGCTATTCAGTGAATCCTATGAAACAATAGATGGTAAGCTGCAGCCAGAAAGACAATCTACATGAACTAAAAGGCACTTAAAATTTTAAATATAACAATGACAAGACAATTAATTCCATTTTTATGCAGGTGCAGAAAATGAAGAAAAAAATGCAAACTACATACACTAATCATCATGGCCTATCCAAGAGGCATACAGCATCTATTCATACAACATTTTAGATGCATTACAACTAGGAAGCATTCTCATGTAACTTCTAAATCATGACTATCCTACAGAAGAAACAAATTATGTTTCACCAGAAGTATGAACTCAGAACTTGCATAACACGGCTATCAATATCCAAACATGTAAAGAGTGTGACTGGAATCTACCAAGCCTAGAATCACCTCAGCAATGGTGATACCATATGAGGAAATGGCATGTCACTACAAACGGTCAGGTTAAACAGATTCATGAACAGCTTTAGAACTAGGAAATTAAAAAGAAGAGCTAAAAGATATCACTCACAAAGCCATACGGGACCCCCACAAACACTCGAGTGAAGAACTAGGATAACTTAGTCAAAGTTTGAATCCTGGATGTACCAGGATTAATTGTGTGAATACAAAAAATATGACATAAAGTACTTCTGGAAAGTTGGAAGGATGTCACAAAAGTTATTTCCTGCTCAATCAAAACAAGTAGGAAGGTATATGAAGTGTGAAAAAGAAGCATTTGAAAGCATAGGTCCTGACAAGGCAATCTTTTCTCAGGAAAGGAATAATTAGCATATATCAAGAGAAGTGTACAATTTAAATTAACAAAAGAATCATATGTAGAAAAAATAATTTGAAGCAGTAAGGTCAGTCCACATCACACCTGAGTAAGATCATAGTCCTGCAAAGGCTTAAGAGAATATGGCAGATCTAATCCTGTTTCTTGCATCATGATCGTAACATGCCAACTGCATAAAATACTAATTCTCAGATAATATGAACTATCTCGTCTTTCCCTTGCCAATGAATGAGAATAAAAGATAAAGAAGATGGGCCTTGGTTATTCAATGATAAGCTCTAGAATGAACGCAGAACGAATACATTAACAACAAGATAACTAAAATGGATATTATGCTGACCTATCAAGGTGCTGAATAGGATTTGAAACTGCCTTAAGAAGAGATCGTTTCACTGCTGACCTCCATGCAAAAGGAAATGAACCACCCTGCATTATGAGTAGCCACATAAACTGGTGTATCTCAATGAAATTGCAGTAGTCAATCTGGCAATCATGTGCAGCCCCTTACCCAACCAAAACTTCTTGAAAGATCATTCCCCGTTCCAAGTGGAATAATGCCAGTTGGAGGAACTGGCTCTCTTTTCTGCACAAAAAGTTCTCCCAGGCTTCCCAATACCCAACCTACTGTTCCATCACCTCCTGCAACCTGCAAAAGAAAATAAATAATTCAAGAAATGATGCAATGATTAACAAGAAACCACCAAATGGAGAAATAATTGCAGAATAAAAAACATAGAAGTCTTAATGGTTGACTAGCATAGAAGTCTTAAGGTCCACAAAAACTGAAAGGCTTCGCTATGATACATGACTGAGAATGTCAAGCATGCATGAATGGACAAAATTGACTTATCCTGGAGAACATAAAGTACCATCAAGCAATCAGTACCAGAGTGACATACCATAATTCTTAAATTTTCACGAACAGCCTTTGCACAATCATCACCAAGATTAGCCAAGTTCTCCAAGCAAGTCAAACCATACCGAACGAACTGTGGAGGCTGTGTAACTGAAAGATCAAAGACCTGGATTAAATATAATAAAGAATTAGATAGTGACCTGTTAGATCATGCTCCTAGATATGTTTCCATAGAAAAATTTTCACATAACTAAAATGAACTTAGGACAAAATTCTCATCACTGTCAAGAGAAAAAGAGGCCTGATTAGAGTCACTGTGCATCACATGTTGATATAAATGTGTTGTAAATCGTACTGGAACAATGGCCAAAGAGTGCCATCTCACAATTTTTTACCATGTAAATAAATATGAGAATCATAACATGTTACATGCACTCAATTCATCCATAAAGTTCTCATTATCTACTAGAAATTGATGCACAACCTGCTGACACCATACTAGATCGTCTTATATCTAAAACAACATCCTCATAGGTGGCTTTCTTCACTTGGATGAATTTTTTTTACCAATTATATCACATCCATAATCATTCAGAATAACAAACTCCAACAAACTTTATAGCTAGACAAATTACGTCAAATGGCCATCTAAGTCCACATTGTGCTCATAACACCAAACTCTGATCCAGTGGGAAGGCAAAGCATAAAGAGCTAAATGGAAGGCAATTTCCAGCACAATCTACCTTAGACCACCATAATTCATTGCTAAACATCATCATCAAAGACCCATATAGTGCAATTTCCTTTTTTTTCTTCCACGAGAATGATAGGTCAACAAGCAAACATACTTCCCGTAAAAGTTAATGAGTCAGACGGGAAGACAAAAGGAGAAAGAAAAACCATAATCTAGAAGATGTAGGCACCAAGCAAATCCAGAATCAGGACTTCCTCTTAAATCGAAGACAACCTTGAAACCTAATTTCAAAATCTTGTCAGTGTCAAAGACACCGTATCAACTTTTAAAGCAGCCGTATACTTGAGAATTTTTTAAAGATTTAACACAAAATTCGCTTCTAGACGTCTACGTGATAATCTTTCCTGGTCTTTCCATTTTTAGTCTTTAGTGTTTTCAACCTTGAGAGATGCAAAGCGGTGCTTTCACAAATAGTTTGCCACTCTACGGGCTCCTTGGGAAATTGTCTTCACCGAAGGCAAAGCAGCAAAGCTAGCACAAACTCCGAGTCACCAAGAAAAGAAGAGAAGAATTCTAAATCTTCTGAATAATGCTTAAAGATCGATCAAGACATGGAAGCCAAGAACGCCGCATTAGGAATTTTTATCACGATCTGAAAGATCTAAAGATTTGCTTCAGTAACTCAAAAAGATTACTCAAAGAATAGAACACACTCTAAGCAAGATTCGATATTTGACCTCAAGAACCCCAAAAATATCTTCGTAAAAATGCAGTAGGAAACCGCAAGAAAGTGAGACAGGAGGGGTTTCTTTCTTGACCTGTTCCTCGCTGATGAGCTCCTGAAGCCGGAGCTTAAGCTGCGGTCCGTGGCGGCCGCCGCTGCGGGAGTTCACGAACACCACCATGGGCGCCTCCGGCATCTCGTCAACCTCCGGGCCGCCCCCGCGGCCCTCCGCCCCGTCCTTCAACGCCGCCTCGGCGCCGGCGTCCGCGTCCCGGGCCCGGATGGCCGACGACATCGCCAACCGGAGGTACGCCGGCATCAAGATCCTCCGCCTCAGCTCCTCCTTGTCGATCCTCATCCCGGAGATCCCGCACCCCCGGATCGACTCCCACACCGACGATCTCGCAGCCACCGTCCCTCCCTCCTCCGCACCCCCTCTGGAGTTCGACATCTCGCTTTTCACGCCCTCGCTAGCCATCGTTGCTCAAGAGTAAGCAAGAAGGAACCCGGACGGAATTGGTTCGACCTTTAAGAGGGGAAAGAAAAAGACTCCATAATATTCTTTCTTCCGATTCTTGCATATTAAAAATATTAATTTAAATTAATTAGTTCTTGAATTCCACGAGCAACAGCAGAGGTCTTTCCCCTCAGTGGAAGAGGAAAGCGAAAGTGACACTGCGGATGGTGGAAATCACAGAACCGCCTGCCACGGTTTTAACCGGCAGCGGTTGGTAATTGAACCCACCCCGCCCACTTTTCCGGTGCCGTCAAAGACGTACCCAAGACGTATCATAAGCGACCGAGAGAGAGAGAGAGAGAGAGAGAGAGAGAGAGATTCACGGTTTACGCGTTGAGAAATGCGGGAGAAGGGAGGCCGTCTTTCCACTTGCCGTGTCGCTGTTCGACGAAATGTTCTTACGACGGGAAATACTGTTCCTTTTAATTCGTACAAAAATCCACAGCTGGTAATTAGGACGCAAGTCAAATGCCAACTGCTTGCACGTGATGCCACGTGACGTGTGTTGCCGAGGACTCCCGCGACGGACCCACTCACCCGCCTTGATCCGACGGTTGCCATGGAGGATGTACGCCTTAAACGAACGGACCGGATGAGCTATGCAAGATGATTACGGTAATGCTATTCCAGAATTAATTATATATATATATATTGTAGACAAATATTTTTTATCTTCGAAAAAATTAGTACTGTATTGAAAATAAAATATTCGAATCGGATTTAAATTACATTTGGATAACTATATATTTAATTGAAATTGAATAAATTGATGAGCATTCGAACTGTGGTGTCCCATCAGATGTTGGTGGCAATCAATAAATAGACGTGGTTGGGCCATCGCGAACAATTGCATCAAAATAAAGTCTCCCCAACCAAGCCAAGCCGTTGGAAAAACGCCACTAATTTGTGCGACACCATTGTCGGTGTATTAACTCACAGAGTTTCCACCTGCTACAGTCATCAGATCTGCATCTCTAACGGTCGCAAAAGCAATAGCAGCCGGTGACACATCCACATCTTGAGCTGGTTGATGTCAGAACGCCTCTTCCCAACACTCTCCTTTCCTTGGTAAACAAACCCACGTAACGATGACAGCAGCCGCTGCAACAGATTCAAATTTTTAGTCATAAGGTTCTGAAGAGAAGTCAGGCTCTTCTGGCTTCTGTAGCTTCTGCATGTATTTATTTATAACTAAAGAATTTGGAAACTAAATGTTCTCTTATGAAGTTCATCATAAACCACAATGACTTGAAATGATCTGCAAGAATGACTTCTATAAACATTCTACTTTGAACACAACGCAAGCAATAAAGATAAGAAGATGGCCGCATAGCACCTGCATGTTTCCGATCAGGTGCGCAAATAGAACAAGACCAACAAGGACGATGAGTATAGAAAACAAAAGCACTCGTTGTCGATGTTTGGCCACAGGAGCTGGAGAAAGATAAAAAGCATAACCTTATAAGAAAGAAGCAGGTTCTTGTTATAACTAATGCAGAGAATCTTCAAACAGAAAGTGAGAAGAAAAGTACTAATCTAGCTTTTGATTTAGCAAGAAAGCATATTTCCTTGTTTAGATGCCTAAGTTTATAACCAAACTAACAATTATAATTTTCATTTGCTACAAACTGGTCAAAGTGTTAGAATTGCTATTGTGTTGCATAGAAGGGCAATTCAAAGACATGGAAATTGCGTACTGCGTATGTTGATCATACTCTCCTCTGCTAAAGTTTTTCTTGTCAAGCAAGAATACAAGAGCACAGTGAGCTTCAATCGACCGGATGTGGTAGCATCTTTCTGATATCAAGGAAATAGCATGAGAAAAAAAAATCAAGAGTATATCCATAATTGTGCCAAGTCATATTAACTTTCACATGAAAGATAGGAAGTAAGAGTTCATGCCTTAGCTTTTGCAATCCCCGCTAAAGACGATAGAAATACTTCTTGACAAGCTTCGTGGTAAGAACTTCATTTGTTAGTGCAGATTTAAAAATGCCAAATTTGAAAGTGCCATTAGGACCACAATTTATGAAAACCTTTGTGACACTAACCCAGCTTTGACGTTCTGGTTGGCTTGACAAGCCACAATCAAGAACCTTAGTTTGCATAATGGTCTATCCAGAGTGCATTGTGATTTCCAGCATGTCCTCTGTCTTTCAACTGAAAGCAAAGACCATGAAGCTCCTAAAACCTGCAAATTCCAATAAAATCCTGTGAAAACTCTTTTCCTCAGAATCAAGACAATATATCCATCATAATTTTCAAGGTTGATACACAATAATTAAGGGAAAGTGATAGAGTTACTTACATGGCTGGCAATCATGTAAAGCAAAAGATTGTATACAGCTCCTGCCCAACCAGTCTTTGTAACAACACCAGTAGTTTTAATAATTTGTTGACTTAAGGGAAATATGAGATAAAATCTTGGTATGTATTGTATTAGAACAATCAGAGCAAGTGCATTATTGTTGTCTTGGGCTCTTAAGTTCCTGACTGTTAGGATGACTGACCAAACAACAATCTGCGTGAAAGAAAGGATATTCAGGTGGGACAAATACACAATTTATACAAAACATATCACAATTTTAACGAAAGCTTCTAGAGCAAATTGAAATCCTCTGCCTCAAATACTAGTGTTTTTGTTGAAAGAAAGTTTACATATGAGATTGTTTATGATTCATTTTCCAAAACATGATGAAGGCCTTTGTTTTCCTGCAACCTCCCATTGGAAAAGCATATATTAAGGCTTTTTATATTCCTGCTAAAAACAGGACATCTCCATGGCCAAAATATTATGGTCGAGGTACATTTAAATCCTAAGACATCATATCATAGATAACCCAACAAAACTCATGGACAACAATTCAGAATTACCAGGCTAGATGGTAATTGCATAATAGACAAGCAAAAACTAGTTAAAAATATAGTTGACTTGATTGAGCATATGGTATGCGACAATGAATGACCCAAACAAACTCATTTAAATGGCACATCAACTGGGTTAATTTCCAGATTTGTCCCAGAACCCAAAGAGTAACTAGACCTGTTCAAGAAAATAAGGAGCACCAAGAACACCTGAACAACTAAATTCATGCCAAAAAAATTTTACACCATATAATTCATCAACAAGGACAGTGATTATGTCAAGTATTGGTCTGGATTTTATTTTTTCACGAATTTTTAGAGTCTATGATTTTATTTTTTTTTCCAGTGTTTTCTAGTACTTGCTTTGTCCAAGTTGTGAAATTATTCTCCAGCTCATCCTAATCCATTGCCTGCCACCAACATCCTACTCACTCTGAATCCTCTAGTGCTATTGGTGACATCATCATCATAGGCTTTAAACATCCAACCGTTTCACTTAGTTTAAGCCTAATTGGCATGAATATGATGTGTCTGTTTGCAGCTATTGAAAAACTGTTCTTCTATTTGGTTGGAAGGGTGACTATTTGAAAGCAAGTTGTATCAGCAAGAACTGACTCAGCAAACATGCAACACGCTAAATTTTACTTTACATAAAACTGCATGATTTATTCATAATCTTCCAAACCTTCACATAAAGCTCACTATCATTCCAAATGGATGCTTCTCTCTTGCATAGAACTTACCATATCTGAATGGAGTTTATGTACATCTTCAACATAGTGCTAATTTTTAACATGGCAGACTTAGTTATTATATATATGAACTACCTGCAACTTTTGATCAATCAAGCTTTCAGCGAGGATGACAACTAAGTATCATCTTGATAGAAGTATATTATTCATGAACAATTCTAGGCTATGTGAGCTGAAACTTCAAGAGAGGGACGAGAGCAAGTCTGATCTCAAATACCTCATGGCAATCTTCTTGCGGTCCATTATACGCTCTCCCCGTCCAAATACTCTCAAGCTTGGAGAAACATACGCAGTCCTAACTTCACAGCTATGTTCAGTATATAGAATAGATTGGCAAGAGTTCGGAGGAAGGTAATGGTAACTCTCATATTCTCATCCGTCTTGATACACATAGTGCTGCTCTTATCGGCCAACGGCAATTAGAGGTATAGAGGATCTATGACCAGTGCAACCAAGAATGAGACGAGGAAGACATGGTTCCATTTCATCAGGATGTTGCTTCCTGGATCCAGTATCCTCTTCCACCAAGGATCATGGTCCTCGATGAAAACTTTGGAACCCAAAGGGTCCCCAGAATCAATTCCACTGGGAATTAGTCCACCAGGTTGTGAGACCTGGTATTTGATTTTTGTTGCTTTCAATCTCTCACCAGGATAGAACCTACACATGAAAATAGCATGTAAGAAGAAGCCTTAGCCAAATCCCAAGCAAGGTAACCTATCACATGAAATGAACGATAAAAGAATAAGAATTAAAGATGGTTTGCTTCATCTCTGAACATGAGCAGGGTTGGAAACGTTACAGGCTTTGGCCACAATGAGATCTCATAATGCTTACCACACGAACTGAATCATATTCAGGATGAGCTTTGATGCTTTCTAGCATTTCATCGAACAGAACCAAGATAACCAATCTAATCCCATAAAAATGAGATCAAAAGGTCAAATTTTTGCTCACCAAGTAAAATGGAGTGGAATTTACTTCAGGAGAGGAAGACAGATAGGGTTTCCGAACATACCTGACGGCTCTCTCCTTGAACTCCACCTTGTCGTCGACTCTCCTCGACCCAACCGTAGCTTTATATCCGATCTCGGCCTCGATGGGGGCTCTATCGACCACGGCTTACCCCACCTGACGTCCCCAACGTTGTGGGGCCTTCGCATAGCTTCCGAACAAGCGTGAAACGGAAGCCAAGCAGGGGAGATGCCAATGTCGGTTTTTTTCTCGATCGGCCATCGGATTCGGAAAGGAGAAAAGTTTTTTCTGCGTGGAAGATTCTCCGATCCACCGGAGGTGGGCGACGAGATCAGAACCAAGAAACTACAGATACCGGAAGACTGAGGGTGGAGTGCGCAAGACTTTAAAGGCGGTAAGAGCGAAACCAGAGGCGGGAAGGTGGAGGGGAGTGCATGTTTTCGGGTCGGGTACATGTCGGAGCCGCTTGGATCCGAACTCAGAATACGGATTGAGAACCCGCACCCTCATTGGTCAAAACGGATTAACGTGATTTTGACTATAAATTAGTTAAGTGTTTATGATTTATTTATGTCTAAAATAATTTTTATATTTTTAAAGATATAATATATAAGTCTCTCTAATCAAGTCTGAGTTAACCAACATTCAAATCTGCTTACGTACAAGTTCACTCATAATAAATTATTAATACAATGACACATATAATTTTAAAAATAATTATTATAACTTTTATAATTTTTGGTTTATATCTAAAATAATTCTTATATTTTTAAAAATATAGCATATAAGTCCCTCTTGACAAGTTTAAATTATCATACGTAATAGCTTACGTGACATGTTGTTATGATTTTTTTTCTGAGTTTTTGAATAATGTTTATTGAGTCTGTTTGGTTCAGTTAAAATCGGATAGAGATTTATTTAATATTTATTTAATATTAAGAGTCCAAGTCCCGATGAACTCTAGATGGAACTCTATAAAGAGTAATGTAATTCTTTCTTTTCGGAAATCAATCAATCAATAAAAAATTATTTCAATCTTTTGACAAGACCATATGAGGTCGATCCCCTCGAAGCGATTAAGGAGGGTCGATCCCCTCGAAGCGATCATTCCCTTTTCATCCACGATAAAATATTAGGGTCTTAACACATGTTGATTCATAATAAATTATTAATATAATGATATATAATTTAAGTTTAAAAAATATATCTCATCGAAGAAGAGGAAACGATAGAGGTTGTAATAACATATGAACATGAAAAGACAGAGGTAGGAGAGGACGAAAACGAATGTAAAGAAGAGCTGAACCACTATATCATAGGCACAATAGATGGGTGTGCATAAGAGGATGAATTGGGAGGCGGTGGAGATGAAGATGACTAGAAGGAGGAAGAGGGACTATGAGACTATTACATACGTAATGTCGGACTGATTTACGCACATCCACCTTAGGCAAGATCGGAAGCTCCTAAGCTTATCGTTAGTGTAGAAGAGGTTACGTGCGTACGACACCCTACTATACAACAATGGCTCAGTGTTGCTGTTGGTGGTCACTTCCACGACGATGCCTCATCATGTTATTAATGGTGGTCTTAATTTTTTAATTTAAATTATATATATTATTATATTAAATAAATTATTGTGAGTTAATATGTCATGTAACTCTAATATTTATTAACTTAAACTTGACGGGAGGAGCTTATATATAATATTTTTTAAAATATAAAAATTATTTTAGATATAAATAAAATCATAAGGATTTAAATGATTCATAACTAAAACTATATGGGTTAAAATGAATTTTTTTATTTAAATTATATATATTATTATATTAATAATTTATTATGAGCATGTAAACAAACTATAATGTCGGTTAACTCAACCCGAAAGAACTTATATATATTATATTTTTAAAAATATAAAATTTATTTTTATATATAATAAATTATAAGGGTTTAAGTAGTTTGACTAAAATTAGGAGTTAAAATCAACCTTAATAATATTGATGATAGATTCAGCATACCCGCGAATGCTACCCGATCAAATTGATACCGGGTCGGACACTGTTATCCATGCCCGCGATGTATCGTTTGCGCCAAGATCCGCGCCTCGATTAAACCCACCGTCAAATTCGTCTCTCTCCTCCTCGTTCAGTCTTTCTGTTTCTCGCTCGATCGAATTCGAGTACCCCTCTCTTCGCCGTGGGAGGTCACGGCTTCCGCGAGGTTCGCAAGCTCTCCAACTAGATGACGACGAATACGACCAAGAATAAGGAGGAGCTCGAGAAAACCTCAGCCCAGCCTCGTCCCTCGACGTCCGCCAGCCCCTCGCCCCTGGCGCCTCCGTCGAGCCTTAGCTCCACATCGACAGTGCCTCCCCGACCGACCCGTTGGATCGTCTTCGACATGCTCGATTCCGTCTCTTGATCCTCTTTCAAGCCCTTGCGCTCCGACTGTGACGAGGACGCCATCGCTTCCTCCTCGACGTGGTTCTTGATCGTCGGAGACGATGTCTGGGCTATGGTCGATGCGATACGTTCGCGGGATTCAGCTTAATCGCGTTCCCAGCAGCGCTGCCTCGATTTATGGCCGACGAGTAGTTGGAGATCTACTTCGCGACCCGGGACCGGGAGTTCCAAGTTGCCTGTTTGGACAAGGGTTTGGGAGAGGATTTCCTAGTGTCGCCGTAGCAGACGGCGCTTTCTGGGAGGACGCCTCCGGACTCTGCAGAACCTGCTTGACGAGTTCGAGGAGAAGGCCTATGGGGGGCGGGTTACAGAGCCTTGGGCTCGGCGCACTCGATAATAGCTTCTTGGCGTGTGGTTCAGGAATTCCGGTTGTGAATAATTTCGCCCATGTAATTCATGGGAAAGTTGTCTCAGTGAAGATTTTTGGTAATGGGGCAGCTGTGGATCGTATTTCACCCCGAGAAGGCGGTTCTAATACGTTGTTGATGAGCCCAGCACAAACAGGGTAACCCAATTCGACTGGAGTTCTTGATATTGAGACGGGAAGGGTCATTGACGACTGGGATATCAAGAAGGATGGTATCCGAGACATCCTCAGTAGGTTAGATTTGAGGTATTGGAATGGAATTTATCCAGGATTTAGCAAAATCAATAAACTCTCCGATGCTGCAATGAACTCCGGGTCATCATATCTAGAGTTTCCCATGCATCACATCCACGAGAGATGGGTCCATCGCTATGTAGTCTTTGGATGGAAGATAGATTTGCATTCAAGGAGTACGATGTGAATGGAAAAGAATGCATTCCTGGGCTTACCTTTCATGTTGATGTTATCTTTGATGAGAATTTGATATTGGGTAGAACTAACACGAACTTGATTGCAGTGCCTTCATGGACAAAGATGGGAGGGAGAAGAGTGGTCTTGCGGCATAATGGAACATATAATTGCAGCTCCTACATTGTTGAAGCTTATTCATTCAATAAAGACCTATCATTGAAATATAGTCCATTGGGTTCATCCATGGCAGGCTTGAACAGCAGGTTTCAAACGGTCCAAGTCTCATGGGTAATGAACCAAGCATCATTTTCAACTTCTATCCATACTGCGCATTTTACATGTCTAATTAAGTTCTTTTGGTATTTTATTTGTTTCTCGCGGACCTTGTTAGACCTGTATAACTAAATCTTGACTGCCAGATGGACTTGTCTAACCTTGTTAAGATAATGAGGCATTAACCGCTCATTGTAACTGCATTAATCCCAATTCTAAGATCAGATATGTTTCCTGGAATCTCCTTAGGTGCATTTTGATCTCAGCTGAAATTCATTCACATTTTGATTTGTTTAGATGTTGCAGGAGACGTGCCTGCATGAAAGCATGTAAAAGCTTGTTAGTATTCCACTTTTGAGTGCTGAATTGATGTTAATTACATAGTCTACATTTGCTAATTGTGTATTCGATGGTACTTGAAGTCCTCGTGATTGTTTAGAAAGGCATCATCACTGTGGCTTACTACCTTTAGTTCTTAATTATGCTATATATATATATATATATGTTTTGTAGATAATCTTGATTTTGATAGAATACATAATATGGATTTATATCTATGGACACAGTAAGTACTGCTTCTGCTAAGTTAGGAGAAGGTTTTTGGTGTTCTATTATAGTGTGACTGGCCATGTTACTAACATCTTGAACCTTGTTGTACAGTTTGCGCAGCTGCGCCTTTGCAAAGGACCCAAAATTTTCCGTAATTTTCACCTGGATTCATTGATAATGTAATCATATGAAAGAACATGCAACAAAATTTGTAAGTCCACATAAAAAGAATATTGTGGTCTTCATTAAGAAGCTTAGAGAAAGTGCAGAAGAGTTTGCTCTTGTAAAAAGGTGAGGAAAACATGGGAGGGGAGGGGGGAAAAGCGGAAAGGAAAGAAGAGAAGAAAAAATAATAGAACGAAAAGGTTATTATCTTTTTATTCTTTTGTGGTCTTGTGGTGGTGTCATCTCTTGCATCCCCCTGATCTTAGTACATTTTTCTTTTCCTTTCTTTCTTTCTTTTCACTTTTTTGACGAATTTAAATTATGTTAGGATGAGCAGAGGACTGATTTGTGAGTGATTTATATACAGCGTGTTGGTTCAGGATCGTCCAATTTTTGGTTTAAATATGTAAGCCATGGAACTGCCAGTTTTCTAGGTGTCAATTGCCCAAATAGCTGTTTAAACAGTAGGCAACCAATTTGAAAAACAACGTCGGGAGTCTTATGCTATCATACCTTTAAATTCTCAAATGAATCAAGTGATAAAGTTTCTCTTGCAGCTCTGTTCATTGCTTCATCATTTAGCAGAGTTTTGCTATTGGTTTGAGTAACTTTCTTCTCACAAAACCTTTAGTTCATGAATTTACTTATTTAGAGTAGAAATATCGTGGTAAAGAAGAAGATGACTTCTGTTTCCTAAGCTTTCTAGTGAATTGGCGTAAATCCTGTTCATTGAAAGAATTTGATACAGTTACTGTTGGCCTTTGAATTATTTGAACTTGATATTGACTTGGCCATATGGTATCTCATTTCTGAATGACTATCGAGTAATATGTTGTATTGAGAGCAACTTTACCAGGCAGCGGATCCCAATAGTTTCAAACTTCCTTTTTACTGGACAAAAATAAGGAGGCAAAGGGGTCACAGACCAATAATCATGCATCTGCTTCTCGATGACAGTATCAAACTCATAGGAATGTGAGAGAAACACTGATTCAGGATGCATTCAGATGGTGTATTCACTTAAGAGTTTACATGTAAACCACTTCACGATTTTGTGGGTTGAAAGATGGGAAATTTATTGGATTAAATACATCAAATACGTTATAACTTGGGTTGAGGATCATGTAATATGCTAGTAGTACTTTGCTGATATAATTTATGAAGTATAAGCATGCGTATCTGAAAATTGGAAAGTGAAATCGGTAATGGATAGTTTGACACTTATTCTGATATGGTTTACTTTTTTGATGTGGTCCAAGCTAGAGAAAATTTCATGCTATATCTTTCGTTATGTAGTCTCAATTATCTTGAAGCTTCCAGTTACTCACGTAGCTTTGTGTCATGTTCAATCTTTCTACCTGCTATCCTTCCATTTATGCATCATGAATCCTTACAAAATTGGCTTCATGTTTTCACCAGTGAGAGGATCATATTATAGATAGTTCTCTTGTTATCTATTATTGTCCTGTTAGGTACTGTAGCATTATGAATGTGAATCACTATTCAGATATGATTTCTTGATACTGTTTTGATAAACAGAGGCCTGTTTATGTACTCATCAAGGTGATCAACAATGGTAAGCAGGAGAACCATGTGATATTTATGTATCCTATTATGGGATGGGTGTGTGAAGTACATGGTATCATATGTTTGTCCTCCTGTAAGTTAGATAATGTCAAGATCTTAGGTGCAGTCCTTCCTGTTGTACTTTCTTTCCAAAAATGTCTCGAGTACTTATCCGGATGTTTTGTTCCCACAGGTGCCACGCAGCGCGGTGGCTCCTTCCTGGATGAAGCATCATGTGAGATGAAGGCAAAGCCTTCACTTGATCCAGGACTCTCTTCCGCTGTCCTCTGACATGGCCCCGGTGTCCATGGTTTTGCCACCACCGAATGCTGTCTCCCACCTGCTTCCTCTGCGCTCTGGATCCAGGCAAAGGTGGAAAGCGGGAAGAAGCTTCTGCAGCTGTGCTGTTTCCACATGGCAAAGTGAACTTGGTTGGGTAAAGTCACCAGCTACTTCATCTTCACGTCTCCACTGGTACGATTCAAAAGTGTTCCATCTTTTATTTTTTTTACCTCTATTGTGTTGGATAGAGTAAACCAAACCAAAACCTAACCCTTATAGAGGCCGCCCCACTAAATGCCTGCACATCATACATACCCTATCCACCCTTCATCACCTTTCTTATTCGCTCCAATGTATCATCACCCATCATACAAGAAGCTACTGCCATTGGATAGTAGTATCGACATCCACTTATTTCCAAAGTGAATCCAGTCAATAGGTTATCATCATCGAAGCTTCGCAGTAGGTGTTCTCAAATGGCTGCTAGACACTCAAATCCAGGCCTAATCCAATCTGTAGTCCAAGTCTAAGACATCATGCATGGAACACGTCGCACCCAATTCCATATCAGATACGGCATCTCCTTTCTGCTCAACATCTCCTGTGCAAGTCTTCACTCTCTTCCTGTCAAAGATCGGCTCCCTCACGGCAGAAACCAAAGGTTGGTGCATTAGGGTCCAAAGGCAACAAGACAAAAGGATGGTGTCCTGTCCTACAGCCCACATGCTATAATCAAATTTTTGGCACTAATATGCCAACATGGGCCTATTCACACTTCCTATATCACAGCTGCACTTACTCTACATTATCCCAAATCTCGGGTCTTAATCCTCAAATCTGGATTACTTAGATTTAATCCCCCCCCATCTTCCTCTCTCTGTCTTCCGCACACCACATGCAGAAGTGGGGCCGATTAGGATCAGACCATGATTTTTTAACTACTTCACTAAATTATCCAGGCTCTCCTTAGGTATGTAGGGGGGGTGCCCACCATCCACAAGGTCATTTATGTTATCTATGGAGGTTCAAATCTTCTACAATCCATTTCTTTCAATCAGCAGAAGATAATTGTTTAGCGTAGAGAGGTGATATTGCTAGAGGAAGATCCACTCTTGCTCCAACAGCGAGGCAGGGAAAAGAGACTGGTACATCGTTGGCGTGTGATAATTAATCCTACGTGTGCCTCTTCGCTTCTTGAGAGGTCCCTCCCTCTTTATCCGTCTGCGGATCACGCTTAGCTAAGTAACATCAGGGGAATGGTGTGACCGCAAGTGATCGGTATGAAAAGCTGGGACCCAAATGAGGTCCACGTAGGCAGTATTAGTGGGGCAGCTACGTGGGCAGTGGGGGGTTGGGTTTGGATAACCATCACGTCGACGCAGTCAAGGGCGTGACACGCCTCGGGTAGCGTCAGCGTTGCGTCAATCTCTTCCGGTTGGCCACGTGTCGTCCATCCGACGTACCTCTCAACGCTGGAGGCCGCATCCGTCGCTAGTCTGTTCCCGACGGTGGGTCCCTTTCTGTAGGTGCGCACTGTGGGCACCTAATTCTTTTACGTGCTCAGTCGTGGACGCCGTCGTCGTCGCAGCCGCTGCCACCCCAAACACCGACACGTGTCGGGAGCAGTGGAATTTTCCAACCCAAATTTATGAAACACTCCCCCCGGGTTGGTGGGCGCCTCCGAGCTTTTCATGCAACCCACTTGAGAGAGGCGGGCGCAAAAGGTCTATTTTAATTCTAATAATTAGACGTAAACAGGAATCGGATGTTATTTATGGTAATTTTAAATTGATGATGATACTGATGATGATAATAATAATAATAATATTATTATTGTTGTTGTCCGGCGTTGCGATCGTGGTTGGAGGTCAGGCCGCGAAAGGTGTTCCACACCCGTTCTATGGTACTATTAGCTAATGTGTAATGCCAAACACATGAAAGTTGCATATTAGAAATGAATAGGAGGAATCATAGAAACGGATAGTAGCACAAAAAGGTGGACAATTCTGAATGATAAGTATGGCCAATAAATTGAATGATAAAATGCTACAGTATACGCATGAATCAGATGATACATCACATCATCAAACTATGCATTCGACCTTTCTCATCTCTTATATTTTTTAACCATGAGCTCTAATTTGGTGGATTTATTTAGGAGAGGAATTAAAAAAAAATCTTTTATTTCTTAAAAATATTTTTTTTGTTATTTTATAAATATCAGAAAAAAGGAAAATCTGCAACCTGGTGGACTTGGCGGATTTCGTAATCTAACCCCGAGCGAGAGTACTAGGAAAAGCCACCGTTTACTGTCGGTCACCCCCACCAAGCTGCCCAACGACCCACCTCCAACACTTTCTCCAGTTTAAATCCTCCTTTTAGTCTCCCCTATCCGTTTCCATCCCCCGTTTCCTCTCTTCTCCCTCTCAGACACCTCAACCCAAAGAAAAGATAGACATCGAAGAAAGCGAGGAAGCGGATCCCCTCTCGCTTAACCTCACCGGCATGGTTCTCCGATCCCTGTAGAACGATGCTTAGCGGCACCCAACTGAACTGAACCCTCTCCTCTCCGTCACCCCGCAAATGTGTCCTTCCTCCGTCTCCGCCTCTTCCTTCTTCTCCTCCGTCTTCTTCCTCCTCTGCAACACGCTCCGATAGCAAACCGCCTTCACCGCCACCGTGATCCGTAACCCTAACCATAACCCGCGGCCAATCTCCCGATCCGTCGGCGGCGCCGGCGATGCCCTCCTTCTCCTCCGCCAACCTCCTCGAGCTGGTAGCCGGCGACGACTCCGACTTCGCCGCCTCTCCCCTCCGCCCTCCTATTCTCCCCCGCCTCATGGACGCTGCCGCCGACTATGATAGCCCCCCCGCGTCACCGTCGCAGCGGGAGCGGAGGATCATCGTTTCCCACCGCCTCCCCCTCCGTGCCGCCACTGACCCCGCCTCGCCGGGCGGCCTATCCTTCTCCCGGGACCCCGACGCGCTTGCTCTCCAGCTGCACTCCGGCCTCCCGCCCGCCGCTGAGGTTGTCCATGTCGGCACCCTCGCTGCCACCGTCGACCCCGTCCACCACGCCGCCGTCTCCCGCATCCTCTTCGACCGCTTCCGCTGTCTTCCTGTCTTCATCCCCGCTGACCTCCACCGCCGGTTCTACGACGGGTTTTGCAAGCACTATCTCTGGCCCCTCCTCCACTACCTCCTCCCTCTCTCGCCGTCCTCCCTTGGCGGCCTCCCCTTCGACCGCGCCCTCTGGCTTTCCTACCTCTCCGCCAACAAGCTCTTTGCCGACCGCCTCATCGAGCTCCTCAACCCGGACGACGATCTAGTGTGGATCCACGACTACCACCTCCTCGCCCTCCCGACCTTCCTCCGAAGGCGCTCCCCTCGCATAAAGTTGGGATTTTTCCTCCATTCTCCATTCCCTTCCTCGGAGATCTTCCGAACCATTCCTGTTCGGGATGAGCTCCTCCGGGCCCTCCTTAATTCCGATCTCGTTGGCTTCCACACCTTCGACTATGCCCGCCACTTCCTCTCCTCTTGCTCCCGATTACTTGGCCTGGATTACCAGTCCAAGAGAGGCTATATTGGCATCGAGTACTATGGAAGGACGGTCACCGTCAAGATTCTCCCTGTTGGGATTGACATGGGTCAACTCAAATCAGTGATATCTTCTCCGGAGACAACTGCCAAAGTCCAAGAGCTCGTTGAGGCTTACAGAGATAGGATCCTGATGCTGGGAGTGGATGATGTTGATCTTTTCAAAGGTATCGGAATGAAGTTTCTTGCGGTGGAGCGGCTATTGGAGGAGCATCTGCAGTTGAGAGGGCAAGTTGTGCTGGTCCAGATCGCTAATCCAGCAAGGAGCCAGGGGAAGGATGTGCAAGAGGTCCAGGATGAGATAGGATCTATCACAAAGAGAATCAATGAACGTTTCGGTAGACCTGGATATCAGCCCATTGTATTGATCTACCATGCTGTACCAACCTATGAGAAGGTTGCCTTTTACGCAGTGGCTGAGTGCTGCATCGTGAATCCTGTTAGAGATGGGATGAATTTGGTCCCATACGACTACACAGTCTGCAGACATCAGAGCCCCGCACTGGTCCATTCTCCCAAGAAAAGTATGATTGTAGTATCAGAATTCATTGGGTGCTCGCCCTCCCTCAGTGGAGCTATTCGGGTCAATCCATGGAATGTGGATGCGGTGGCAGAAGCGATAAATTTGGCCATCACGATGCCGGAGACCGAGAAGCAGCTGCGGCATGAGAAGCATTATAAGTATGTCAGTTCCCACGACGTTGCATATTGGGCAAGGTCCTTCGATCAGGACTTGCAGCGAGCTTGCAAAGATCATTTCCTAAGAAGGTGTTGGGGGATTGGATTTGGAATGAGCTTCCGTGTCGTTGCTCTTGGTCCTAATTTTAGGAAGCTGTCCCTTGAGTATATTGTTTCGGCATACCAGAGGACAGATAGTAGGCTTATCTTGCTTGATTATGATGGGACCATGATGCCTCATGCTTCTATTGTCAAAAAGCCAAGCAGTGAAGTTATTTCAGTTCTGAACGGATTATGCAGTGACCCAAAGAATGTTGTTTTTCTGGTCAGTGGTCGGGGAAAAGATGAGTTGAGCGGATGGTTTGCACCATGTGAAAAGTTAGGGATATCTGCGGAGCATGGATATTTCACGAGGTAATAATTCTGCACTGAAATAGCAAACTTTATATTACTTTAATAGGTTGTTCAATGGTGGCATCATTTTGTTATTTACCATAGCAAATTTGGTAGGGGAAGAGTGTACCTTGTCTAATGGTAAAAAATAATTGTTAAGAAGTTATGAGGTAAAACATACGACATATAATCATGGAGTACACATAAAATCTCTTACAGAATTCATATTTTCATATTCTTGTGTTTTGATAATATCCATATTATAGATTGTACAAACTGTGTGAGGGTGGTGCCTTTGCTTTAAGATAAGATTATTTAGGTTGACCATCCTAGATCTCGCATTGGTGGGATCCTCATGCTGTAGGTTGCCTTTTTATTGTACATATACAGTACAATTTTGTGAGCAAAGGTTTTTCTACTCATTTTGGAGGATGTGGACACGGTTAGCTCTAAGAAAGTGATTGAACGTGCCACATTAATGAATGCAACAAACTTTACTTTCAGAAGTTAAGACATACATGTCATTGTATAGAAGCTTCGAAATGTTTGAACCTGATAAAACCTGAGTCACTAACATAATTTTAATTGTCTTCAGAAGATGAAGTGAAATATCCTTGTTATGTCATGATTAAGATACACAAGCCAAGCAAAAAACTGTGTATGAAAGTTTGTCTATTTGTTGATTTATTTATAGTCACGTGGTATATAACTGGCTATGATAACAAAGTGATGAAAAGTGAAATTCTGAATTGATTGGTCTAACCAATACCATGCGTTATGATTTGAATTGAAGGGAAGGTGGTATTCTCTTATGACTGACTGGTTGGTTGTTGTTTTGGATTGCAGGTGGAATAAAGATGCTCCATGGGAGTCGTGCATGTTGACTACAGACTTCAATTGGAAGAAGATTGCAGAACCTGTGATGAGACTCTACATGGAGGCCACAGATGGATCCTCCATAGAACCTAAAGAAAGCGCATTAGTTTGGCATCATCAAGAGGCTGATCCAGATTTTGGTTCATGTCAAGCAAAGGAACTCCTTGATCATCTTGAGAATGTGCTTGCCAATGAACCTGTGGTTGTAAAAAGAGGCCAACATATTGTAGAAGTGAACCCTCAGGTATGAAGAAGTTGATATTGGTTCTGTTTCCTTCACTAAATTTTTTGCTTTAGATCTGAACCAAATATCACTATCGTGATCTAACAAGCTTAGCTTTCAAAATAAAGGTGCATGGATTAGGATTGACTTTGAGGGAATATCTGCCTACCTCTTGAGCATGCATGGATGCCCCCACAAGTTCTGATAGGATTTCTTAAAAATAGTAATAATATTAATTTGGAGATCTAGAATAGATAGCCTTGGTTTGGTTTACTTGGGTTGCTAGGTCTTCTTTTCTTATTACTTATTATTCCTCATTTTGTTCAGCCTTTGACCATTCCTTGGGTTGCTTGGTTTGGTAGGTCTCCTTTTATTATTCACTTATGCTTGCTAGTTTTATTCAGCCTTGACCAGTCTTTTATATGTAGGGGATAAGCAAAGGCAGGGTGGTCGAAAATCTCATGGCATCTCTGTTGAGTACGGGAAAGGCACCGGATTTTTTACTATGCATAGGTGATGATAGGTCAGACGAAGACATGTTTGAGAGCATCAGCAGTTATACAAATAATTCATCAGTTCCAGCAATTGCCGAAGTCTTTGCATGCACGGTCGGCCAAAAACCAAGCAAGGCAAAGTATTATCTCGACGATACAGTGGATGTCGTGAAAATGCTTCAGGGCCTAGCCAACGCATCATCCGTGCAACCGCCCAGACCTGCGCAGCTTCGAGTCTCGTTTGAAGGTTCTCTTCTAAGAAAGTGTGTATTCTGCGGTCAGATCTCTCCAAAATGATCCAACCTTCCGCCGGGTTAAGCTAAACCAGCCTGGGTTGAGCTAACCAGCCCGTGAAAAACTAGAGTTGAGGATGCATGTGAAAAACTAGGAATTCACAATACAGGACTTATTGCGGACTATGCAGAAGCTGCATGGGGAGGTCAGAAAGCTTGGGAACGAAAGTATTCAGATTCTATCCAGATTACCTTAGGAAGCTGTCACACCCAAAGCCAGACCTTGTAGTTATATTCATGTAAATATATGGTAAAAGTTTTTTTGTTGTTTTTCCTTTTGCTCTTTCTTGTAGATGGTTACAGAAATTTCATTTCACACAGATGTTCTTCCAATCATTTGTGACACATACTGCATGTAATGATAGCATAATTGGCAAGCATCCATCGTGCTTGCCATACATACTTCCATTCCTACAGTCTCATGCTAATCAATCAATCTTGGACGGTTTGCTTGTACAAATTGGTCTTGTTTTCCTCTTGCTTGTTCTATTTGCTGATGGCTTCAGCGTTAAAAATATGAGACAAAGTTTCACACTAGAAGACATGCAGATTACGTCTGTCAATCAATTCATAGTCCTTTTGCATTCATGAGGATCACTCCTTGATTGCAACAGATTTGATGTTAATGTTCATTGCCCTGCCCAAGATTATCTCAAGTCCCAGCAACCTGACCAACCTCAGATCATGACTGATTCAAGACTGGTGAGTAGCTCATCATCATCATCATCTGAGAACATGAATACTCGAATTATACCCTGGCCTTCCTTCAGATGTCACTCTTGCATGCTGTCCTTTTAAGCATACTCATAAATCACAATTTATTTTTATTTAATGAAAGAAAATGTTGCCAGGTTGGTGGGGGAAAACTTCTGGTGAGGGTTGAGAGGAAGCATAGACTGAACTTTCGCACCACCATAATTTGGTCACATTCAAAAAGTGTTGGAATGTAATAATAAGACTATTATATTTAAGAGCTTTAGTCATAGACGTGATCGATGGAAGTCTCAGTGGTGGAAGCGACCGGCACAGTAGACGGCTGCATCCAACCTCTGCCACTTGTATACTCGTACGTCCACAGCTGTTCTCACCTGTAGACGTGCTCATCCGGTCAACCACGTAAAGCCCGGTGGAGGAGGAAGTCGCTGTCGAGAAGAACGAAGGGGTGACTCCCCACCGGAGACTGGGACGCAGACGTCATACTTGCCGTGTCTCCAAAGCTCTTCGTCGGGCGTGGGGGCAGTTGGAGAAGGAAGAGTCGTCCCTTCTTATCTTCTTCCACTGGTCGGAGCAGTTCCGATGTGGTGGCCACTGCTGCTCTACTTTTCCTTCTCGCTCGGATGCTGTCCTCCCTCACGGCGTCATTGGTCCCTCCAGGAGTCATCGTCAACACACTAGTCCTCTTTTCTTTGATGTCCACTTCGCCTGCTGCGTCTGGAATTGTCTGCACATTGTTTCATTGGGTGATTGATTGGATAAACGTGTGAGCAGCTGCAACTCCTATCATCCTTTCTTTCCTTGAGACGCATTCTTATGTTATATTTTTCTTGACTGAACTCATTCACGCGGAATCAGATGCTGCAAGCTTGCCATATGTATTGAATAAAGGGAGGTAGATAGATAGATAGATAGATAGATAGATAGATAGATAGACAGAGAGAGAGAGAGAGAGAGAGCTGAATTGGTCTAAAGGTTGGTTGGAAGATCATAATTGTTATTGTGGGTGAACAATGACAAAGTAGCTGTGGCTTTAGAATAAGATGTTCTAATCTTAATCTTATCTCAGTTACCTAAGACATTTCCATCGCTTAACAAAGCTAGATTGCTCTTCTACTATATATGATTAAGCAATCTGTTTTCACGGGATTACAGTGAAAAGAAAGATCAATTCAAGGTGGTAAAAGGTTAGTAAGGCTAGTTGAAGCAAATATAAACCAGCAGTAGCTGACGTCTCCCTCCCCTCCCTGTTCTGGAGATAGAGAGAGTCCATCCAAATCATCCCAAGATTCACATATTGCTAACTTCAGATGCATTTACCAGTAGCCCACATCGATCAGATTCACATGACAATGCCAAGAAGAAGATGTTACATAAAGATTTTACAGCTGAGAAAACTTTATATGGCATCTATTGATCTGAGATGTGCTCATTTTACGTGCTTCTTCAATTAAGATGATTCTGCAATATGTTCGAGAAATAAGTACTCAATCTGTACATGATTCATACATAAAAGATGCTTAAGCTGACTCGATAGTCGACCTGCTCCTCTCCACCACTGTCACTGGCGGCCTCCTCCTGTTGCCAGACTTGGGCCAAAGCCCGCCTCCCTCTCGTCGGTGCTCAGCTCTCCTCCTCCTCCTCCTCCTCCCTCTCTCTCTCTCTCTCTCTCTCTCTCTCTCTCTCTCTCTCTCTCTCCTATCCTTCTTATTAATTAGTTTTCCTAAAAAGAGAGAGAAAAATGACTCAACTCGATTCGGATGTTACAGAGGCAGCACGTCCCGAGATGCCAAGTAATGAACAGAGAAAAATCGATCTATAAAATTCGATTTCTCAAAGTGTCACGCAAGACCTTCTAAAGGATTGAGATCGAGGTCGAGAGAACTCGAGTCAGCTCTTTTGATGCTTAAGTCAATCATATCCCAAAAAATACATTGGTCCCATGTCGATTAGATCTATTTTATCATCCAAAGTATAGTATGAGAAAGAATTTATTTGAATTAAACTTTTATAATATATGTTATATATTTATTAGGACAAATAGGTTATTTGAAAACTTGAAAAGGGCAAATGCGTAAAAGACTTATTCTTCTACTTAATAGTTTATTCTAATATTTACGGAATTCCCAAGTTTGTCATCGCACGAATCTCTCTATCTCCCTTCCTCCCGTCGCCGGCGCCCTAGAGATCGGTCTTCTGCGACTCCACCTCCGGCGACGTACGCTGCTTCTCCCTATCCTTTCGAGTCGGAAGTCAATTGTCACCACCGTAGGCCCGCCATCACTGCCACCGCCACCTGATAAAGGGCACGTGGCCAAAGTCTTCACCGGAGGCCTGCGACTGCCGCCATTTCCTTCACCTCGGGTTTCCTACTAGGAGAAAGGCCTTGCTTGATCGTAGCTCCTCTTATCAAGGTTCTCCCTCGACTAATTAGGGCAAAAAGCCGTTTCTTCTAACTCCATCGTTCAACCCTTAAATGATAGATTTCTTTTTAAAGAATAGAACACCAATTTATCGATATTAATCGGAACTTTTAGATTCTTGGGAGTTTCAAGGTCTGTTTAGTCTGCTTGATTCATTCGGATAGCTCCTTATTCTTTTGAGCCCTATCAATTCTTCCTAATTAATCTAATTGGCCGCAATTGTTGTCCTGCTGATGGTACTTCTAGTTTCAACTATGTCTAGAGCGTAATTAATTGTAACTTTCGAGCTGTTCTGACTATATTGTTGTGTTGTTTCAGAAGCATGAGGAGAAGACCTGGGATTGCAGGTTTAAAGAGTGCTGCTGCTGCACGGGTACTAGTTTCTGACTATGATTTTGTGCTTGATGTGTTTATGTACATGTGCTAAAACACGGTTTGTATTTTTCTTTTTCAAATAACTTATTTTTTCTTATGTTGGTTTATCATCATAAACCAAAATCTACGTTCTTGCTTATTAGTTCATGGATGTTTGTAATAGTTATTTTCTGTTTGATTAATAGGATCAATATCGACTAGTTGGTGAAAATGTTGCCAGGATCAGGGCAGATGTCATGAAGGAACAGCTCGAAACATTTCGAACTCAGTTAGAGGATTTTGCTCGCAAGCACAAGGTAGTATTATTCATTGCATATTGTCCTTTGTTTTGTTTGTGTTAATATAGTTGATTTTTTGAGCATGCATCTGTGTGTTTTGCTTGTCTGTTCTCTTTTTGTCTCACTTAGAGCCCCACAGTGGGGTTTGCAAATTTGTTTGAAAGAGTTGTGGCTTATTGGGTGTTTGCAACAACTATGAAAGAATTAGAGTGATTCTAGATCCGAGTTGGTGAAGAAACAGATGCTTTTGGTTTATTGATTACTTATATATACACATATGTGAATATACAAAATTAGCTTCCGTCGGAGATTAAAGTGTAAACTATAGCTTTCATTTCTGATAAACTGAAAGGACCGGAAATCACAATTTGATCTTTTCTTGAAGTTGTATGGAAGTTTGTTGTTGTCATTCTATTCAAGTGATGAAGATTGCACAAAACATCTTGTTTGGTTGACAAATTCTTGTTTCTTACAAGCTTCATGGAAGTTCACGTTTGTTAGAGTTTAGTATGAAAAATGATGGTTTTACATTTCGTGTCTAGCAGTATATTAATAATCATGAAGGATATTCTTGTGATCCTTATCATGTCTGTGTCCATTAATATATACATAAAAAAGTGGAAACATATTACTTCTTGTGCTGTTGATTCAAAATATTTAATTACAGAATACAATCTTGTAAGAGTTGAATAGAATGGAACTTTTTTTGTTGAAGTTGGTGATGAAGATCTAGTCGACTTCTTCTGCATGTGTTGAAGGTTAAATAGCAAACTACAATTCAATTGCATATTGTCAGCACATCTATAGTTCAAATAATTTTTTTTCTCTTTTATATTTTCATTGTGTATTAACATTACTGAACATTATTGAATGGTTATAGAATTGTTTCCTCAGTTCTCTTTGTTTCTTACACTAGGAATATAACTTGATTCTTTTAATACCTGTTTATGCAATATTGGAACCACATTTTGAATTTTTAGGTGACTATTGTCAATATTTGCGTGCTCAATGTTTCTTTGAAGTTTTTTTTCTTAAAATAACTTCAAACTGAACTGCATCAACTTTCCTCTGACCTCTTTATTGTTGTCTTTATTATTCAAAAAGTTGGTTGGTAATTTCTGTTTAAGATGTGCATAACAGTTTACAAATCCATCTCCTGGAACAACTGGCGGTATAGAGATAATAAGAATGGTTTGAGATGCCTAGAAAAATAACTCTGAGATTGTTTTTGGTAACTGATATGCACAGAAAGTTGGATTAGTTAAACATGGGCTGTTCTTGGTTAAGGCATAGTGATATCTGTCCTAGGAAGCCATCCAAAGAAAGATTAAAAATATAGAATTGGATCAAGTTAGATTTATTTTTTGGTTTATTTACTAGATTAATCAGTTAGGCTCCTATATTTGTCTTGTTTTGTTATGACTAATCAGATTACTTCCCCTTTCTGTAAGGGGTTTGATTTATGTTGAAATTCCTCTTGTTAGCTGTGATCTGTTTAAATAAGTCATTTATTATTTTTTCATTTTAAGATTCCTGATTGAGAATCACTCTGAAGCTACTTTTGATTTGGGATTAAAGTGCTTCCAGTTTGATGATTGGGTTGGTTGCAGAATGACATCCGTAAAAACCCCACATTTAGATCACAATTCCATGAGATGTGTGCCAAAGTTGGAGTTGATCCTCTGGCCTCAAACAAGGGATTTTGGGCTGAGTTGCTAGGGATTGGTGACTTCTATTATGAGCTTGGTGAGTTTTTGTGACTCCACATACAATTTCTGTGCAAACATTTAATCCAGTTTCCAGTACCAACTTTAGATTTGGATGAGCTGATTCATACTGTATACTATGTATGGTGTTAATTTGTTATTTCTTCCAATGTGGGCTATGTGGTAAGGCAGGAGTTCAGATTGTAGACATATGCTTGTCAACTAGATCTCACAATGGAGGTTTAATCAACTTGCAAGAGCTCTGTAGTCTTCTTTGTCAGAGGCGTAAAGTTGCTCGGGAGGCTGTTACTGAAGATGACTGCCTCCGTGCTATAAGCAAGCTAAAGGTATTGAATTGATGACGAGTTATATACAGAGCTGTCCTTTTTTTATTTCTTTCAGTAGGATGTTTTTTTGGGCCATCTCTTGTCGAGTGTTTCTTGAGGTTGCTTCCGTCTCTTGTATCTTTGGCGACATGTTGTTGATTTTCTATAAGTTCTAATGATCTTAGTTTGGAACATATATGTTGACCGGACATGATTTGTCTGCTCATTTTATAAATTTTCAGGTCCTGGGTAGCGGTTTTGAAGTTATATCAGTTGGCAAGAAAAAGCTTGTTCGTTCGGTGCCTACTGAGTTGAACAAGGATCATAATGAAATTCTTGAAGTGGCTCAGGTTTGTTGTCTGTTTCACGATGTCGTCTTGGGTTGTACAGTTTTTCTGTTTAGTTGTTACTTACACCATTTACACTTTAATTTCTTTCATCATTCCTGATGGTTTGTTCTCTAGGATTTTAGTATCATACAAAAGAAAAGAAGTATATCTAATTCACTTACCTTGAAAAAGTAGATCAAATTTGAAGTGAAGGGAGAAGTAGCTTGCAGTAAAAACAAGCTTCTGATGGAACCATATTTGTGTTGATCTATCTGCATCCATTCACACTAAAAAGGAATAATCGGTGTTGTATTGGCTACTCTGTTATCTGGGAAAATTCTCAATATATATACTTATTTAAATTGGCCTAGGTTTTGTTTGTAACATGATATTCATTGTTTGTTCATTGGAACATATATACTACTACATAGCGCATGATTTGCATACAATTTCACAGAAATGAAAATTATGTCACTGAAACAACATTTAAACAGCTACAAGATACAGCCGAACAAGAAGCATCAGTATAACAGGAAACTTTTTCCGTAGTAAGCTAGAGCGAATCAATTTTTTCCTAAATCACCGAAATGAAGAATTTGGTGAATTAGTATACTCTTACATGTTGGCTTTGTTGTCATGATGATGTTACTTATCATGTTGGTGCATAGACTAAAAGAAAAAGGTGGCATGTTCATAAGGCTTGGTGCCTGGTGGTGACAGCTCCCAAGTCTTTAGATTCCATCTGAGATCTTGGAGTTCCTTCTTGATATTTTCTCACTGTGATATATGCTGTATCGACCAACTTCCTATGAACTTTTTGACATAAATCTCTCAGTCCTCGATACTTATGCTAATAGGATTACTTTACATTATTAAGTTCAGAATCAATTAATGGATAATCCAGCTTGACATGAGCATCCAACATTTAATACCTGCTATTGACTTATACTCATGCAGGCTCAAGGTTACGTGACCATCGAAGAACTCGAGAAGAGACTTTCCTGGTCCTCTGGTCGTGCGATCGATGCTCTTGAGACTCTGTTGAAGGTAAGTGCCGGTTGCTTATGCCTAATTCCTAAATATAGCAAATACTTAATGATTCCTCGCATTGGAAAATACAGGAAGGTCTTGCCATGATCGACGATGGTCATAGAGATGGAAAGCGTCGGTATTGGTTTCCCTGTGTGGCTTCCATTTTCTCTGCCCCGGGATCAGATGGTTTTAGATCTTTGTAGTTGTCAGACCATGATCTGATGCGTACCATTTCAAGTGCTTGTACTCTTGAGAACATCTAAATGTTTGATATTTTGTTATCGAGATGATAAAATATAAAAAGAGGACTGTTTTTAATGTATCAGACCAAGTGAAGATATCCTGTTATTACTGAGGTGAGCCACACGGTCTGTCTATTACTATTGCATGGTCCATCTCGTTCTTTAAACGAGCGACTCACGCTATTACATCCATCACCTTCATGTATCGATCGAGTCATTTTAACTCCCTTATTGCAACAATTGGAAACAGCTCTTCTTCGTTCCACATGTCGGTGGCTCGCTTTGAGTTCATGGAATCAGGAAGGAGATTTAGGATTTGGTCTCAGGAGTCCATCAGTCAACCGCTTCGTCTTCAACACTCATGTCTGCCTGTTAATTCAATACGAATCGATCTCGTACTTGTTTGCCATTGGGATTTTGCACCATATAATTGGATTTCGCTCACGCGACAAGCTTAATCATGAGCTATATTCATTAGGTTTTGTACTATATATATTTAGGTTTCAGTCACACATCAAATCTATCCGACTTACTCGTGAGCGGTACTTCATATGTCAAATCTAATCGGACTTTCTCGTGAGAGATGATATCAAAGTATATATTAAGATTTGTGATTATTCAATCATATATCATTTAAGTAAATAGATGCTTCTACGCTCGTCGACACTGCTGCATGCACCGATGACGCATGCAGGCGACTGAAAGCTCAGGACAGGAGAAGGAGGCGGCGGCGGTGCAAAGAACAGTGTGATGGAGATGTCAGTGACATGGGGTTGAATCCTGCACATTGTCGATGGTGACGGATTGGACAAGTGTGTGCGAGTGAGGTCCCCATACGGAACTCTCCTCAGCCACTACAACGTCTAGGGTTTCCCCCCAACCCTAACCTAGTATACCCCTGCATGTTAACCAGCTTCATGCATGCATCACACGCAAGATGAGTACCGATGAAATGAGAAGAGATAGATCTCTTGTTTTACATTGCAGCAGCAGATCTTTCCCAAACACATTGAAGATGATCCATTGTGATGGTCATCACCCATACATAGGGTGGGGCTGTAGCATTGATGCGTGTGTATGTCTAGTGTGGTGGAGGACCTTGATGGATGGATTAGCATGAAATGAAGGACACAAGTTGGGATGACAATTATGATTAGAATCAACATCAAAGAAATATATTACATACATAGCACGGGTTTTCTTCGACCCTCAGTTAGCTGATTCTTCTTGGGCTTGCTTAACCAAAATTATTATTTTTTGCTGCTGAGAGAGAAATCTATTTATAATGTCGAGAAAATGTAGAGAAAATGTCAGAAAACAGGGATATAAAATGTAGTTACTAAAATGTAGAGAAAACAGGGATATAAAAGAGAGAGAGAAATCTATTTATAATCGAATTGTTGAGGTGGAAGCCTTCATTATTGAGATGAAATTGGCCATATTTAGATATATTTTCTTGAATTTTCATTAAATCAGAACAGATATTATATTTCTTTAACAATGTTGTCGAAATTGTAGTGTCAGACTGAGGAACACAATGAAATGGTAGACATTAAGTCTTCGTTTGTAGATGGAGTTCAAGATTTCCTCACCTTGCTCAACTGCTACAAAATATGTACCGGAGATGTCTTCTCATGCACTAACCTTAACGAGCATTAATTCAACTTCATAATAATGATATTTGCTACCTAAAATAAAATAAAAATCTCACGTATTTTATATTGTACTGAAAAAGAAAAAAAATACAGTTAAATAGAACCAAATATTGCACCCCTCCGACATCGCATTTCTCGATGGCCACTTCTCATTAAGATGCAGTTCATCCTCAACCCTAAGGAGGAGCAGTGAACAGTGCGTCGAATGACTTCCTGTGTGAGTTCCTTGACACGATGCAATCGAGACGTGGATCGGTTGTCAACTTCCGGTGCAGGAGTGCTTCATTTGCTGCTATTGCTTGACATGACTGGATTTGAATGCGAGAGAGGAACCCAATAATTCCATCCGCTTGTCACGGTGAGCTGCCCAGTTTCATCTCTATTAATACTCTACTCGCTGCCTTCCCCATCTCCCATCGCCTTCACTTGCATGGCCACCTGAAGCCTCTTCACACCCTCCGATTCCTGCTTTCCCCATCTCTCATCTCTTCCTTTTGCACAAATAGTTCCTTGGCGATGAGAAGGGCCTCAAGAAGGGGAAGTAGCAGAGTGCTTCCACTAAGAGAGAGGAAGCCCCAGCTGCAATGTCTCGTGCTAAAGAAACTGAGGAAGCTCAAGAAGATTGTTCCTTGCTGCAGGAATGCGGTAGGGTTAGAGGGATTGCTGCGGAGGACTGCCGAGTACATATCCTTTTTGGAGCTGAAAGTGATCGTTCTTAAGAGGATTTTAGACCTCCATGGTGTGTAATGTGTTGATCTTTGGCTGAAAAGAGAGTTGTATGCCCCTTTCTAGTCCTACTCATCGTATCTTTGTCTCTGCTAGTAAGCTTCAGTATGTATTCGAATAACATTGTAGGATATAATGACCATTTCTTTGGAAGAACTGTATCCTTCAATCCCAATACTACCGATGCAAATTATTCTTCCTTCCCATTGGTAATGTTTGAGATGGGTTAGAAGTTTGATTCGATCTAAGAAAAAGGATATAATGGGTTACGATTTGTTCTGTAAATAGTATAATTCCTTGCTTTAATTGACATGTGTTTTTCTCATATTCTCAAATATTATAAGTAGGTTGTATGCTATTACTTTATGTTACAAAATTAACTCCAAATATGAAAGACTTTCTTTTTTTTTAATCCATATCATCGCTCGCTTTAAATTTTACAGATCTATAATTTAAGTACTCTAAACTTTAATAGAAACTATAATAATTTAGTGTTCTAACATATGACCTTCAGAAAAAAAAAAAAGACCTAAAAAGATTTGAGTACTTATAACTCGAGGGTGAGATAGAGAAAGAGGTAAGAAGATTTTAATAAACATTTAAATATTTAAAAATTAAATAAAAATGATTTGATGTAATCGATTTCTAAATTATTAAAAAAAATCAATCTAATTTAACATTTCAACATGTCGGATATAATGTGATGTCGCTCCGAAGCATTACAGGTTGTGACAATACTGATTGGATGGTAGTGCGTGACCTGTCTTGCAATCACGGCCGACTTTGGATTTAAAGTTCATCCGATGGGACTCAATAATCACATCATATGCATGCCGTAATGCGATCATTCAAGTGACCAGCTTGTGTTGTCAGAACATCTCTTGGGCGGCTATAACGTCAGCAGAACAGTACTCCACTGTGTCGGTACATGCAACATTCGATCTTTTCGTTGCGTTTGGTTTGCAGGAGGAGCAGAATTAGCTTCCCAAATGGCATCAACAAGCTTCGTCGAGATAGATTCGATCCAAAACTCTTCTTTCCCTCGACTACTGAAGTGAAAGAAGAACGAGATTTAGAGTGGTCAAATCTATGAGACGCGAGAGAAGGAAGAAAAGAAGAAATCCACATTTCACGTTCTTAGATTGCATGTCAATCTATCAGATACGTTGCACCTCTAAAAGACGCCGCATTGAATGCCACCATTCACACCTCGTGTCCCCCCATGACTGGATGCATGCACCGAGAGCGCTCTCTCTCTGTCTCTCTCCGTCATGGGTGAGGAGTTACTGTTGCAGCAGAAGGAGAACGTGATGATGAGGAGGAGGAGGAGGAGGAGGAAACAGCGAGAGCTGATGGAAGGAACGTTTCAGGTGGCCAAATCCAAAGATTACGAGGGTCATTTCGGACGTCTTCTTTACTGCACTGCTTGCCTCGTGAAGCCACGTGATGTGGGTGAAAGGGAACGGCAGCCATGTTTCCCGGATCTTGCCAACCTACCTTCACGTGGAAGAGGAGACGAGAAGAGGACCGAGCTCCATCGTCGCCTTCCCACCGTGCATGCTTCACTACATGCCCACAGCTTCCTTCCTTGGTAGGATCAATCTCAGGTCATGGCAATGGGAGAGTAACAGCATGTGATTGCATGTGGTGTGTCCATCCAACCAACCCATGAATGCTCTTAATGGACGACCGGTGACACTAAACCGACCTTCTTCCCATTGCTAGCGACGGTTTATATAAGAGTGATTTGCTTGCTTTAATGCATTCATTAGTTTGTGATATGGGAAGCCGTCACTCGACAGACTGTGAATGCCTACTCACATGTCATGTGGGGCTCTCAGTCTACTCACATGTCATCGTATTGGATGAATTCATGTCCCAATGATACAGCAATTACGCCCAATACATAACTATTATATCTCCGAGTCATTCACCGTAATATAAAAGCCCTCGGTGCACCACATCGACGATCGACTCTCACTATATTCGACACATAACTAAATCCTTCGAACCCAATTATTAACTAGTTTTGCATCATCTTAGTATGATAGTTCGATGATTCGACATTCTTGACGCCGAATCTATTTGTGATAGGCTCGAGAAACAATTACGATTGAATTCAAATCATCCTCCACGTCAAACAGCCAATACTTTGAAAACAAGTCGATCGATCGAGAGAGAGAGAGAGAGAGAGCAAATAAGATATTTTTTGGATTCTATTTTTTGTTTTTTCTCTTCTCTTGTTTGCGTTGACCCGTGGCAAATCAGAAGAAATAAAAGAAACCCATTATGAGCCACGAGGTTGTGATGATGGATAGAAGCCCATTTCTACAGGATAAAAACCCCTTCCGATATTTAGAATGACAATCTTATGAATGATGGCGGATAAAATACTCATAAACTTCATCCATTTTAACTCAGAATCAATGGGATTCGAATTCAGTTTAAATCAGTCAATAGATACAAATGTCAACTTCTGAATGACAACAAAATATAGCACGAGAACTTGCTGCTCTGATATCTAAATTATAAACTAATAATGTATCTTTGAACTCGATGAAAGGTTACCAAAACATGACTTAATTTGGTTGAATGATTAGTAGGATTCAATCCTTCAATCTTGCCATCAACAATCGAAGTCTGAGAGAAGTTATCAAATGAGATCTAAAGGGTATACAAATGAGATCCAAAAGAATGTTAAATGAGAAGATCTATCCAAATAAGTGTTCAAGCCTATAAGGTTGAGATAGTAGTTCATGATTTGTAACTATGTTTCTATTTTAGAAGTTCAATATAACTTTTCTTCCTTTTTTTCGTCCTTATTTCTTCTTTATCTAATTCGTATGATTTTGAATTAGTAGTACCTTATTATTATTATTATTTAAAAAAGGGCTACACTTAGAATGTGATCATCGCTTTCTTTATCAGAACTACAAGAGTGGTAATCTATATTTCAAAATCTCATTAGTAAAGAAATAACATTTTTCGACTATGGATTACAGTAATCGAGTTAGTAGATTTGGTATTGAACTTTTCAATTAATTTAACTATAAAATATGAAACACTTATTTGAAGTCCTATCTCATAGGGCAAATTTATAGGATATAATTAGTGATAATGCAACAATAACACCAGATGGGAGATGCTATGAAAAGATATAGGTCATTAGTTATGAAAGCTATATTTATATTAAAAGTATCTATTTCTCATGATTTCTTTGAATATATTATTAGTTGTAAATCAATTTAAGACATTTGGGTTACTCTTGATGCATTGTTCGATAAAAGAAATATTGCTCAACTTCAGTATTTGGAGAATAATTTAGTAAATACTATCCAAGATAATCTCTTAATTTCTCAATACTTTTTTTAAGATTAAAAATTTATATTCAGATATATCACTCTTACATCTAAATGGTTCGATGCACGAATGAGACGTTATATTATTCATGGTCTTTAAAAATAATATATTGTTTATGTTATATCTATTCAAAAAGGGGTTCAATAACCATCCTTAGTAGAGTTAGAATTTTTTTTTGTTTTTTGGGAATCCTTAACTCTTATTAAAATAATGATAGTTTCTACTTAGATGCCCTTTTTACAAATAAGAAAAAGGACAGTGATAGAAAAAAGAAGATAATGTTAAGACAAGTTAGAATCTTAAATATTATATAGATGGCAAATTATTAAGACTAAAAGAGAAAATATTATAAATAAAGAAGACCATTCAAATACTACTAATAAAGATCGGAGTAATTATTTTATGGCTAAAATTTTTAAGCTCGTAGCATCTATCAATTTCGAATATGACTGGATAATTGATTCAGGATATAATTATCATCTCATTAGTGATTGTACCAAATTTATCAATCTTCATCAATACGAAGGTAATAATGTAATTATCATGATAGATAATATTATTCATCAAGTGGAGAAGGAAATCTAAGATAATAATTTTATTATGTTGAAGAGCGTGTATCATATATAAGTATGAAAAAAAATCTTTTCTCTATTGTAAATATAGTTGATGCTAAAAATTATATTATTTTTAGTCTCGATAAAGTTAAGCTTCTATACTTGGTCATTTAAATTTTCTCAAATTAAAAATTATGATGTAGAAAAATTTAATTAATGATCTTCCCAATCTTATTACTTTTAGTAGTAATATAGTTTGTGAAGATTGTCAATATAACAATGCATACAAGCAACCTTTGGAGAGATCACTTTCTAGATATAATTTTTTCTCATAGCTTAGTCGCAATGATCTAATGGACCTTACTCAAACTCCATCCTATTTAGGTCCTCGTTATATACTTATTTTTATTGATGGCATTACAAGTTTCAGTTAGGTCTATTTGTAAAAGATAAATCAGAAGTTTTTTTTTTAATTTCAAGAGTTTCATTTAAAATATATAAATTCTACTCTTGATTTGGGATTATTCTAGAAGAAGAATATGTATATCTATAATTGCTGATCTAGGAGATGATTTGAATAATCATAGGCTCACGTCTGATTATGTGTTTTTATATAGTTTTACTTATATCTCATGGTATAGTAAGAAATAACAATGGGTCTTTTTTTCTATAATCGAAACGAAATACAAGGCTTCCTTATTTGCCACTCAAAAATGTATATTATTAAGGTATTTAATCAAGGATATTTGCTATCAAATTAAAAAAAATTAACTATTTTTACAGTGTGATAATCAAAGTACATTAAAATTGATTATAAATCTAACTAAGTATATTAAAATTAAATATTATTTCATCGAAAAAAATACTTCAAAGAGTTATTGAGAATAGTGGAGATTAAGAACAAATATAGTATCGTATATATCTTTATCAAATATCTTTCGATAAGACCTTTTCAAGATCTTGGAAGCAAGTAGGGATCTATATATCTAAAAGTATACTTTAAACGGGAGTGTTATTAAAAAATATTTTTTTAAAAAAATAAATTATTACTTTTTCTCTTATTTTTAAAATAAATTGATTAGATAGAGTTACATAGATAAAAAGTCTCTTAGTTTAAATTGTTATTTCACTCAGATCCATCAGATTTGAGTGTTTAGATCTAGAAGTCCAAAATTAGTTCAAGATTATTTTTCTCTTTCTAAAGTTTAATATAATTTTTTTTATTAGGTTTGATGTTAGACTAATAGTATGTTATTACTATTATTTAAAAAATAACTGCATTACGTGTGCATGTGATTTCTTCCTTTCTTTAAATCATCATCGTCTCGTAAATATTTTAGATTTGTGTCGTTATTAACGCCGGGAAGATTCCGGTGGCATGTCCCCCACACTAATTGATCAAAGCGTGCATAAGATACTGACAGCATCGTCGTTTTACTTGTGTTCATTGATGTGCAGAATGACCTACTCCTTTCGATGAACGCCATTCGATGTGCTCTTCCTCACATAGGCCATCGTTTGGAAGACGTCCCTTCTCTCATGGCACATCACAAGACAAGCACAACCCCACTCGAACCTTGCTTTTCACACCATGTGATTCAAGCACAATCAACATTGCATGCCCCACACTCAATCATTCATCTAATTTGAATGCAAACAAAAAATAATATAAATTTCAAGCCTTATATTTCACCAACTCAAACAGACAATTGCTTTCCCAATGATACCATTTGCATTCACACTATTCTTACCCTCCATGTCTCATTTATCGACGAAGGAAAATTCTCACATTCTTCGATCGATAAAGGCTTGTAATGTTTGGGGTCAAATCACCTCCATAATATTTAAAGGTAAACGCGGCACAAAGGACACGTTGGTGTGATCAACTTATACCATAAGATCCACGAAAGCTGCGCACTGAGGTTGTATTACCATCTCCACCGTAGCCGTCAAACTAGAGCCACACAAGTTTACGGCACTGCCGAGGCACTTACGTGGCCTTCTTCCGATGATGTCATCCTTTCGGTGCAAACGATATTGACCGATTTAATAGTCTACTTATTCAAGATATACGTTCGGTACAAATATTATTGTTACATATCGAGTAGTAATTTTATATCTTAATTCTTTATTTTTTTTCTTTTTTTTTTAGACTCCACATGCATTTACTATTTAAATCATACTTGATTCGAAGAATATTTTACTAATGGCCTACGGTTTGAAAGTCTCAACTATATATAACACGAAGGTATCGAGTCAGAAAACTTCTTCTGACTTATATTTCAGGCTTAGCTCATGTCGGATCACATCTTGATCTCCTACGAACGATGGACTTTGGAGATAACATCAATTATGCACCCGAAAGTTCTCAAACGATGGAGCTAAAAGGAGCTCCACCGAATGCAGATATCGATAGGAAGACAATGCGTACGGCCATTAAGAGAGGAACGATGAGGGCCTTGAATCCCAAATCGCACATGCAATTGATGGGGGCTACAATTATGTAATGCACAGTGTGGGGTGCAGCGAACGCAGGACAATAATTCAGCAAGCAGCCAAGCAGCCAGTTGAATCGTGCGGACGAGTGACTTTTGTGCACCCCTACCCATTCGACAATGGAAATAAAGGACGAAACAATCAATTATTAGATGACATCATTTGATATCGGTGCAATCTATCTTAGTCCCTGGCTTCAAGTCATGCTTATTGATGTGGACTTGGTCATGCCATGTCTAGTTTGAGTTCGACTCGAGTCGAGCTCATGCCAACCTTCTAAGTGTCATCAATCTACTTGCTAGGCTTGTCTCGCTTCAATAATTGCGTGTTGAATCGAGACACGGCTGGGCTACAAATGAGTCTCGAGAATTTTCTAGTTTAGTATACATTTCATTAATGTGTCACGTATGATGAAGGCAAATTCCTATAAATGCCTGCGATCTATACGGCTCTTCTTCCTCGCGAAGCCTGCAAATCCATTAGTTCCTCCTCCACCTCCTTTCTCGAGGTTGATCCATGGCTGACTCTTTCCTCGAGGAGTACAAGCCCGGATTGGCCATGGTGGCCGTCCAGTGCATCTACGCCGCCATGGCCCTCTCGGCCAAGGCAGCCTTCACCCACGGCATGAGCCCCATGGTATTCGTCGTCTACCGGCAGGCCATTGCCTCCATCGTCTTGCTTCCTATAAACATCATCACTAAAAGGTTCCTCTCTCTCTCTCTCTCTCTCTCTCTCTCGCTCTCTACGCGTGCTTGATATGGATGTCGATGTGCAGGGGGAACATAGGTCAGATCGACTTGGGAACGAGAGGCTTTTGTTTGGTGTTTCTTGCTTCGCTGATTGGGTAAGTGATGCTTGCCCTTGGCACTCCATTTTCGGGTTCTTGTTGTTGGGTGGTATCACGGTCACATGAGACTCGTGCGTGTTCCTCTGTGAAACAAACAGTGCCACCCTCAACCAGTTCTTCTACTACCGAGGGATGGACTTGGCGTCCTCATCAGTGGCCACAGCAATGACCAACCTAATCCCAGCAATCACATTTGTTATGGCAGCCTCTCTAGGGTAAATCCTTCACCGAATCATCTCGCTCACAAAAGAAAATAGGAATTCAAATCTTTCATGGTGTTTGCAGCCTAGAGAAAGTGAAAGCGAGGAGCCTGAGAAGCGTGGCTAAAGTGATTGGCACCGTCATCTGCGTTGGAGGCGCGACCGCCATGGCATTCTTGAAAGGCCCGAGGCTTCTATCCATGGAGTTTCGACACCTGCTGTTGGGTTCAGCAACCGATAAGTGGGTCGTCGGCGCACTTTTCCTCATCGGAAGCAGCTGCTGCTGGTCGTTTTGGCTCATCTTGCAGGTGCCGATCTGCAACGACTACTTAGACCCGTTGTCGCTGTCAACATGGATGTGCTTGATATCAACCTTCCAATCCGCCACTATCACATTTTTCTTAGAACCACAGTTGAGTTCATGGAAGATCACTTCGCTGGTTGAGCTCTTGAGTTGCTTATTTGCGGTAAGAAGATTCTCCCTTGATCCATCCCTCTATTCCTTCTCACAGCCAGCCAAGTAGTAGGCCAAAAGACTGAACAAAGGGGCGTGTACAGGGAATTTTCGGGTCTGGAGTCACCTTCTACCTGCAATCATGGTGCATATCAGTGAGGGGACCGCTCTTCTCTGCAATGTTCAACCCACTTTCGACAGTCATCACCACAGTCTTGGCTTTGATACTGCTGCATGAGCAACTCCATCTTGGAAGGTATGGTTTTACTGCCTCCGAATGGATTCCAAACCTCGCGTCGTCTTTCTTCATCCCGAAGCATACGACATGTTTCTTCTCCTGCAGCTTGGTTGGTGCGGTTGCAGTGGTGAGCGGGCTGTACATGGTTTTGTGGGGCAAAGCCAAGGATTTGGACCCCAAGAGGAGGTCACAACCGGGAGATGACGCCCACAAAGTGACCATAGTAATAGAACCAAAACAGAGTTATAAAACAGACCTAACCAAACCACTGATGGAGGAAAGAGCAGAAGAGGCAGTGGAAAAGTAGATGAAGGATCCGTGTCCCTTCTGCCCTGCAGATCAATCATCCAATCATGTGGATGGATGTTCGACATCAACACCGATGTCCAAACCAAAGCCCAAGCCCAAGCCCAATAATAAACCCAAAGCAGGCCTTATTTCGAGCTTTTAAGATTATTAAATATTGCTATCTTTACTTGTTTTAATAAATTGTTTATGTAATTATCTTTCAATTTATTTTTCTAATTCATAGCTCCACAGATAGGAAATGATACAGTTCTTTTTTTTGAAATTAATAGAATAAATGGTTAAGTAAAAATGAAATAGAATAAAAAATTTGGAAAATTATGTGTAAACTGGTCTCATAGAAGATGAAAATATAAAAATATTACCATATATATATATTTTAATGCTGCAGACACATATACAATACGTATCGTTTGCAATCACGCGGTGATATCTAACATGTGGAATATTAAAAACACTAGTGTCTTTGACATTTTGCTCACCTCTTGGTGCTACTTTAAGATTAGGTTTTGTAGTGCTGATGATGTGATGCTAGCAATCATACGGGTACTCCTCCTCTACGCTTAGATCACCAAGCAACAAGCCACCTCCACGTGCCATTGGTACTCCGGCGGCACCTCCACGTTCCTCCACGACGCCGACGCCGGTGTCGTCATCGTCATAGTTGCTTTTAGGTCGAGAATTTTCGCCACAAAGGCGCCGTTGCGCATGTCTAACCCCAATACCATCAGCTTCCCCTCCCATGCGACCGCGGTCATCGCCACACGCATTTCGCTCGGCAGCTTGGCCACCGTAGCCCACACGGCGCCGTCTAGCTGTACCATCACTTCCCTCCCCATGCACCGGTAAATTCTCCCGTCCACTCCCGTGACGCATATCGTCGGATATTGCTCCCCCGGAGGCACGAACTCCTCCACGGGGCCCCAACTACCCGCGGCCGGGTCGAAGGCCTCCGAGCAGTGCCTGTGGAGGACGTGGAACTTGCCGCGCAGGATCACCCCGAGGCAATTGAAGGGCTTGCGCGCCATGTCGGGCAGCGGCTTCCACGAGTCTCCTCCCACTTCGTACGCCAGCGCAGACCGAAGCGGGTTCGCGCTCCGGTCAATCCCGCCGGCTACGTACACCGTTCGGCAGCCCTTGTCGGAATCGTGCGTCGCCGCGCAGGCGAAGGAGGACCGCAGGGGCCACGGGAGGGGGGACCCGCGGCGCCACTCTCCAGATACGAAGTCGTAGACGTGAACCTCGTCGGTTGTGAGGCAGGTGTCAATTTTCCATCCACCGACGACGACGAGCTCGGTACCGACAGCGGCGAGCCGGCATATGTGCGGGAGCCCATGGGTTAGGTTGGGGCACGGGGGGAGGGAACTCCAAACACCGGTGGCCGGTTCGAAGATGACGAGGCGGTGGACCATGAGTCCTGGACAGTTGTCGTAGGTGCAGTAAGGCTGGACCATGACGACAACGGGTTGAGCGATGCCGGTGGATTTCCGGAACCGGTGGAACGTCGGGTCGCGAAGCTCCTGCCGCCAGAGCTTGCAGACTGAGAAGAGGGTGGGGAAGGCACTGTAGGGGACTCGAGTAAGGCACTCGCGTGCCGCGTCGTCGGTGAGGCCGGGAATCATATCGCACACTGTATTCTAAATTGCAGAGGGAACAGAGACGAATTGGGTGCTAATGAGAGAGAGAGAGAGGCGAAGCGGAGTTTAAGTTTATGTAATACTGTACACATTTATTCTATGCAAACGCAGTGACATATCCTCCTCACTTGCCTTATGTTGATATGTACTTATTTAACTCAGACAATTAAATTTCTATACCATAAATTTAAATATATCATATAGCTTATATAGTAGAATCCTTAATTTGACATGTATCATAAATTTAAATTGTTAGGCTGTTTAGTTGTTAAGGTAGACTCTTAGTACACTCACATAATACGTAGAACATGATTCATAAATGATTAATATTGTTTTTCTATTTTTTTTTATATATTTATAATAATTAATTACTAAATTTTGAGATTTTTTTAACGCATATTGTAATCAAATATAATTTAGTTTAATTTCGAGTGAAACTTGATTAATTTTCATGAAAACCAATCCAAACCTTCACAAAACCATCATAGTTAAAATTTATGATAATTAATTATTAAAATTAAATTTTTAGATATATTTTTTAGTCGAACATAATATAGTATAATTTTGACGATAATTGAATCAATTTTCACAAAATTAATTGCTCACTTGAATTGTTGGGAATATATAATCTAAGTCAGCAGAGCCATGTGGATGTTCAAAGGAGATGGGGATTTGATGTCCAAGCCCAAGCCCAATAAAAACCCAAATCAGGCTTTATTTGGTGCATAAGCTTATTTATTACATATTTCTATCGTAACTTTTCTGTGATAAATTATTTATTTCATCATATTTCAATTTATTTTTCTAATTCATAGTTCGGAAAATAGGAAATGGTATAACTCTTTCATAATTGTGTCATCTGTTATCGTATTTTGAAAATAATAGAATAAACTGCATATGTTAAGTAAAACTAAAATAAAATAAAATAAAAGGAAATTATATGCAAACGTCTCGTAGTAGATAATAAATGTATTTTTACGATATTACCATAATTGTATTTTTATGACGTAGACACGTGGATAGTCTACCATAATTATATGCTTAAAGAATGAGTTTGCACTTGTAGCGTATCTGTGATTGCTTAGAGCAATAGTCTAGCTTGCCCAATTTTGCTCGATTCACTACGATGCTTCACCATGGTAAGATTATGAAGTTTTATTGTTTGCTCAAATTGCTTGCTCACTTTAATACCACAATGTGATGGAATTCATTGGGATTACCGAAATTGTGAAACATCCTTGTATTATTTGTCCACATAAGGGTTAGCCTAATTGTAAACTCACTTAGCTCCTAAAGGGTGTATAAAGGAGTAAATTAATTAGTCTAAAAAATGAGCAGCAAATAAATTTCGATGTCTCACAAAAAGGATAGTGTTATAAGCAATTCAATAAACATTTGGCATGCAAAAGAAAAAAAAAAGAAGAAAAAAAATAAAAACTTTAGAAAACAAACAAATAATCACAAGTTCTCAAACAATTACACATTGGGTATTAAGTGTATTGGTAAGTCACCATAAGTTTTACATATAAAATTATAAATCCAATGATCAGCACATCTTCAAACCCCTTTCTAATCATATGCCACATAGGTGATTCTAGAGTGTTAAATTAGTTGATATTATATATTGCAATGTAATCTATAAAAACTAGATCATGACACATAAAATTATTTATACTCTTAATTATTATATTATATATACATATATATATATATAATAAGATAAAATATACCATGAAACATATGTACTAGCCAATAGAACGTGGAGAGGACGACGTCAAGCGCAGCCCGGAGCCAAAGCTTGGGAATAGAAAGGAGGGTGCGGAAGGCATCGAAGCGGACTCGAGCGAGGTATTCGTGTACCACGTCGTCGGGGAGGCCGGGCAACAGAGACGAATTGGATGAGGTGCACATAATTGGTAAAAGCATGTGTACTTGTCCTCATCATTTGCGACGGATAATTGTTTAAGGATGTGATGTGAGTACGGCTGCCTCTCTCCATTACAAAACGACATAGGTACATGAGTTTTTACTGTGAGTGGATTGCCAGCTTCGTCTCACGCCAATTAGCACGTCACGTTCCTTCCCAATGGCAAAGGCCGGGATCCACGTTTTCCCTACAAAAGAAGGTGTACTCTCGTTTTCCATAGCAGTGCACGTCTGCATCGCCATCATACGTGCCAAGAGCAAGGTGGCAATGGACTATATTATTATTTTCTAGAACATGAATGGATTATGAATCATTTATTGATGAGTTCTGATATAAAAGCATCTCAATGACTGAGTCACTGAGATGCTTTGGTATCATATGGTAATTCTAACCATTAGCTAATCGATAGAATAACTCATCCGTTTTGGTATCATATGTTATGACTGTATCACACGTACGATAATTGACTCCATAATTTATCAAGCTTAAAATATTTATGATCAAATTAATAATAATACACTTCTCTAGTACGAAATATGTTTTTCTCAAACTCTAAATCTGAACTTTGAAATAAGACATACAATAATTGTTAGGAAAAATAACAATGCTGCTAACTCACCCCGTCACATAGGCTGAAAAAGCCATCTAAGCAAAAGCATTTTCACAGAAATGATCGGCCAACCTCCACCTATTTTGGCCCCCCGAAAAAAGGTCATTGAGGCTTAATAGAAAAAACAATGGCACACGCATTTCTTTGTTGAATCACTCAATCATGGGCTGTCACTTGGAATCGATATGTACACAAAAGCTCACACTGTCCCCTCACGTGATCGTCAATTGGAACACGATCCCCTCACGAGTCGACAATCGGTACACGGTGACCAGACCTGACTTCTTAGCTTCCCCTTGATCGCGCCACTAGTCGTTAGCAATCCGTCACCCTTTGCCAATATTTTGGAAGGGGTCGCACGCTTAATTATGGAAAGTATTAATTTTTTATGACATGGCCTGACTCTTTGGGCACCTGATATCAATCCTCATCCTTTTTCCATTTCAAGCATGCTCCTATCCTAACATATGGTATACTCACAATTGTCCTTCCCTGATGTAACTAACGAAAAGGAGTGTTCACTAGCCGTGGACATAAATAAATCCTTGATGATACAAGAAGCTAAATGAGGAACGAGCAACTGACCACCCTCCATCGATATGTCAGATATAAATGCCCACCTATGAAACCAAATGGGGTAAGAAGACTCGACCTAAAAACTCCTAAGCTTTACTAAACCCTATCCACTTTCTCTACTGACTAAAGTATCGGAGAGGTCTGGTCAGGATATCCCCTGATACTAACCAATTACGCAGGACCCTAGAGCATCAAATGAGCACTTCATAGTGACATGACGCATCATTAGACAAGGCCAAGGCATACTTCGAGACAACTATAAACTTCCATCAATAGACGAACTGCGCTTACGAAGGGCCACAAGTCGATCATCGTGGGCCAGCAAAGCCTCAAGAGTCTACATGTCACCCAGCCTCACACTTGAATCATACCCACGCAATCCGCTTGGGCTTCTTGGATGGGTCCGTGCTTTCGAAACACTACCATGCCGTATTGATTATTTGGTCAACGGCTCGAGGCAGCAACACCAATAAACTGTAACATAATTTATCAGTATAAGGTTATAAGGTTTTATTTGATTTTGAACCCTTCTCCCTTGACAAATCATAAATCACAACCCGTACGCGGCTTCTCGAATCTCCAAACCCTAACGATGCGCCATGCTTAGATAAACAAACAACACGCTCCTAGAACGGATCTTCGGTACTCCGGCGGCACCTCAATCTTCTTCCACGTCGCCGCAGCCATTGTCGTCCTCGTCGTAGTCGCTTTCATGCCGAGAATGTTCGCCGAAAAGCCATAATCGTGCCCGAAGCCGATCACCATCAGTTTTCCCTCCCACAGCACCGCGTATAGCGCCTGCCTCATTCCGCTCGGTAGCTCTGCAACCTTAGCCCACACGCTGCCCTCCAGCTGTACCATCACTTCCCTCCCCGCGCACCGGTACAGCCTCCCGTCCTCTCCAGTGACATACAACGCGGGGTATTCGTCCTCCTCCTCCACCGCGGCCCCCTCCATGGGGCCCCAACTCCCCGCAGCCATATCAAAGGTCTCCGCGGAGTACCTGCCAAGGACGAGGAACTTGCCGCGCAGGATCACCCCGCGGCACTCGTAGCGCTCGCGCGCCATGTCGGGCAACGGCTTCCACGAGCCGCTTGCCAAGTCGTACGCCAGCGCGGACCGCAGCGCGTTCTTTCTCTCGTCACGCCCGCCGGCTATGTACACCTCTCGGCAGCCCTTGTCGGAATCGTGCATCGCCGCGCAGGCGAAGTAGGACCGCAGGGGGCTCGGGAGGGGGGACCCGCGGCGCCACTCGCCCGATAAGAAGTCGTAGACGTGGACTTCGTCGGTTGTGGCCCAGGTGGGAGGTTTCCATCCACCGACGACGACGAGCTCGGTACCGACAGCTGCGAGCCGGCAGAAGAGCGGGAGCCCATGAGGTAGGAAGGGGCAGGGGGGGAGGGATCTCCAAACACCGGTGGTCGTTTCGAAGATGACGAGGCGGTAGACCACGGGCCCTGGCAAGGTGGGCTGGGCGGAATAAGGCACAGGTTGGACCAGCACGACAACTGGTTGAGCGATGCCGATGGATTTCCGGAACCGGTGGAACGTCGGGTTGCGAAGCTCCTGCCGCCAGAGCTTGCAGACTGACAAAAGGGTGCGTAAGTTAATGAAGGGAACTCGAGCGAGGCACTCGCGTGCCACGTCGTCGGTGAGGCCGGGAATCAGATCCTCCATGAGCAGAGTATTCTAAATTGGAGAGGGAACGGAGACGAATTGGGTGGTAACGAGAGATAGGTTATGTAATACTGTACACATATTTATTCTATGTAAGGTAGTGATATACCCTCCTTACTTGCCTTATGTTGATATTTACTTATTTAACTAAGACGATTAAAATTTTATACCATAAATTAAAATATATCATATAGCTTATATAGTAGAATCTTTGATTTGACATATATCATAAATTTAAAA